TTCCACATCTCCAGATGGAGTCCAATAAGATAAGCCTTCATCATATGCTTCCACTTGGCAAAGTTAGTCCTATCAAATTGGGGTAATTTACCCGCGGGTATGTTGATGTGAGTGTTAGTTGGCAAATTTATGGAATCATAATTAAAGGATACACTCGAATATGATCTCTTGGTGTTGGACTTGAGTATCCTCTTTGGTATCCTTTGAGCATAGTACTCATAATCATCATCTCCATTCTCTGACTCGCTGCTTGATTGTGGGCTTGATTGCACCTTTCTTCTTGCTTTGTGTTTTTTCTTCTCCTTGTTCTTGTTCTTGTCCCTTTGCTTGTCTCCCTTGGAGGATCCCTTAGCACCAAGCTTGAGCTTTGGAAGTCGCTCAAGCGCTGCTGTGGGATCATCCTCAGGAGCTTCGGGTTCCTCTCCACTAGGAACATCCTCAAAGCGGTCCTCTCTATCTTCCTGCGGTACCCTTTCTCTAGGACTTGCCATTTCCTCACATGGTTAAGTTCTATCACGAGGAAACCAGCTCTAATACCATTGAAAGGATCTAGCAAGGGGCCTAGAGGGGGGTGAATAGGCTTTTTTCTAAAATTTAATCAACTTCACAAAACCAGTCAAAACGCGGAACCTCCGGGTTTGATCGCGGAGGTTCCGGGACTGAGCGTGGAACCTCCGGGATCAAAGTATGAATTTGATCTACTATGGAATTTAACGAATGAAGAATAGATCGAATGTAATACCAGCCTTCTTGGGAGTGTGTTGAGCTATCCAAACAGTCCGTTGCACCTAGAAGATGAGGAATTCATAGATCGGATGCAAACCCTAAAAATCAATCCAAATCACAAGTAATAGCAACAACAACAACAATCATAGAGGACATGAGGATTTATTCTGTGGTTCAACTCGTCACAAAGGCCTGTCTACGTCCACGTTGTTGAGGTTAGCCACAAAGGCTATGGAGTCTCTTTCAACTCGCTCCTCTTCTCCAACCTATCACCAAGGCAATAGGTTAGAGGGTTCCACTAAATCACAAAGGGTAATACAAACTTTCCGGTGCTCAACCACAGTGGATTGGGAGCTACCGGACGACCGCTAGCCATCTAGGAGCCAAGCTCCAAGCGTAATGAACACACCATAGGGCTAGGGCTTCACCAAGTGCACAAGAACGGAGGAGAAGGATCTTCTCGAGCTTTCTCACACTCTCTAGAGCCAAATCCCTCAAGGAATCACAAAGATTTGAACAAGAAAGTTGGGAGCACCAAGCTTGGGAGAGAGAGAGCTTTTGTTTGTCAGGAATGAAGGAATGGAGAAGATGACAGTTGGGGGTGAAAGGGTATAGTATAAATACCACCCACGTCACCCACAAAACAGTTGAGTCAAACAGACCCCGGAGCCTCCGTGTCAGGACGTGGAGGTTTCGTGCCTGAGCGCAGAGGTTCCACGCAGTCCAGAGCAGATAAGAATTTAGCTCGGCTGTCTTTTTGTGGCTGGGATTATTTAAGTTGAAGATGGAGTTTCGAGCACTTGGTTCCACCCAGACCACTATTAGTATCCCCATTAATAGTACGTCTTGTCTTATAACTCAATTTTAAAATATAAAATGAATTAAACTAACTCTTGGAGCCGTTGCAAGCCATCGATTCAAGTTGGGGGTCTCCTTTGTTTCTTTGCACCCACGATTAAAGATATGCGGTCAAACACTTGTCAAAGCCAATAGTCCTTTGATTATGTGGTCAACATCACCAAAATCCACTTAGAGCTTGATTGCACTTACAATTAGCCATTGTCGTCCTCACCCTCCTCATACCCGTGGGCAGCGAGATGTCCGTCTCCTTGCTCGGCCTCGGCCTCGAGTCGCCTACGTGCTCACCGTGCTCCTCCTGCGGCTGCCACCGAGGATGCCCACCACCCATTCAACCAAATACCACAAAGAGGTAAACTTACCGATTTGAAGAAGAGGTGACTCCATGCAAAGCAAACCAGGCAACCAAACACAACCTGTGTCAAGTATTGGCTTGGTGGGAGAAGGGCAACAGGCTAAGCCTGCCCGGGCTTAGAAGCTAGCCAGGCTAGAAACTGGGCAGGAAACCAGTAAAAGTAGATAATCTTGGGTGCATCCTAGTGGCATCAGTCTACTCTACTCTGGCTTTATTGACGCCTGCACCCGTCACAGTCGTGTCCACAACCTATCAACCATCATCGTTTCGCTTTCTGACGCGGAATATCACTCTCCTTCCTTTCTTTCTCTCCCAAGGCCTTGTGTAGGCCTAGTTTAGTTTCTCTCCCTAAAGTTTAGCCTATATCCCATCGGATGTTTGACACATGCATAGAGTATTAAATATAGATTAAAAAATAACTAGTTGCACAGCTTGCGACTAATTTGCGAAGCGAATTTTTTAAGCCTAATTAGTCCATGATTTGCCAACGTGGTGCTACAGTGAACTACAGTAACCATGTGCTGATGCCGATATAAGTACTGAGGACTTCTATAATTTGTTTTATTATTACTATCCGAACACTCCCATGTAACATCACAACCTAAATTTTAGCCTTAAAAAGGCCCAAGTTTCTTGCTTCTCTTTCTGTCGTGTCGCGGAGCATCCGCTAGGCGCATCACATCACATTCATGATTCATTCATGTTGCTTGTGTTTGTTGGCTGCAGAATTCTGTTGAAAGTGCATTTCCTGTCCTTCTGCTTCCCAAGCGTGCACTGCACATCTTGTGCAAACGGCCATGCTGCTGCTGCTCTCACGTTTCTGATGCCAACTGCCAACCCAAACATTTCAGCGAGTAGCTTGCTAACAAATCTTGCTACTCTTTTCGGTTTATTTGCTGAAAAGATTTCAGCGAAAATTAATGAACTCTGATTGGCCAGACGACCACATCGATCTTGAAGAGAGATAATTTTGCCACCAACAGAAAATGGGTTAAAGCAGTAACAATATGCCGATGATTCTCTGACAGTGCATGCCAAAAAGACGCCGTATGAGTATGATCCCGGCACGCACAAGCAATCGAAATCGCAGAGCCAACTGCATTATCATTCATCAAAATCTCCCAGCTCCTAGTCGTAGGTCAAGCCCAAAGATCTGCTTGTATGACAGAACCAAACAAAGATTATATGCACACACACACAAAAAAAAGGACCTACAAGGCTACAGAGACAACACAACTGCAGAACGACAATGAAAAGAAGAACTAGAACCCCAACAAACACACAGTGATATGATCTTTGTATACTATGTAAACCCCTGGATCATGCTATTGCTAGGCAAGTAGGCATAGTCTTATGAGAACAAATAAGGTGATGTTGTTGTCTGAAGAAAGTGCATGCTTAATTTAGTGTTACTCCTAAAGGAACAGCTATCAGTTGTGACAGATTTTTATAGGTCATATATAGTTATAAAGACGTACTAGGGCAATTTAAATTTCACCTGTGGAGCCCATGGAATGTCAGCAACCAGAGTCTGTCTACCACACCATCATCTTTGCATAATCTTCACAGCAACCCTCTCCACAGGCAATCTGTATTAAGTCGCAATTACACAGGATTACTCATGGTGTTCATCTCTGTCTTTCCAGAGGACCAGTGCACTGCAACCATTTCTAGTGGTTTCAAACAAAATGGTGAGCACAGTAAATTCTTAGGTATCTTAATGTATCCAGCAATCATGTCAGGAGGTAATGCTTTGCCTCAAGAAAACAAACTGGAATAATATTACTCAGTATGTGTTCTACTTCTACCGCTTTAAGCCTGCCAGGTCTGTACACTTGTGGCATCTTGATTCCGAAAAGAAAAAACAAAACCACTAATAGGAAAAAGGAAAATTTTCCTTTAAAGAAAAGAACAAAAGGAACTGAAGACAGGACTAATATAGTTACAGAATTTGATCCTTAATTGTCACATTTTCTGATCCTCAAGTTATTTTGTCTGCTTAAGTAGTTATGCTAAAATGATGCAGCTACTATTACTTCTCAACTTCTGATTGACAAATTGATTCAAATATTCAGAAATACCTCGCACCGCAGAAGTTTGAAAGAATATATACTTGCCTATGTGACTCCAGCACTCTGCTTGCCCATGAACTGCAATATTTTATGATCGCATCTATGTGTAAGCAATCGAAATTCAGGAAATGAGTTGCACCTGGCAATTGCTCAGCTTGCAAGGCAATATCCCCTGATCAACCTGCCAAACTGGCTCTACACTGATCTACTTTGATTAACTCGCCATTCGAAAGAGAAACTACTGCGAAGGAGGAAGGACACACAAGAATGCCATCAAAATTGAATTCTGCAAACTGGTAGCAGTAGGCAATCTTTTGCCTCGGGAAAAGAATTTGGGATCCACTTAGTGTTCTCTGTTCTAAAGATTTAGGCCTACAAGCTTCCCACACTTACCTCATGTTGATTTTTTTTTCAAGGACAAGTTTACTGAACAAACAATCATTCTGGAATTTCTTTAGTAGTAAAAAAAAATATGGCATTGAAGAAAAGACCAAACTGAGCTCTGGAAATGTTCGTCCAACTGACCCACCACAATAGTCCATGGGCGTGCTTCCTGCATCCAAGTTCGAGTTAAAGAAGACTTGTTAAACATTGTTAAACCTCAAAGCTTCCGATTTATTACCTTCAGTTACATCTCAAAGTGACTTTGCAATAAGTTCAGTGCATCGTCACAGAAAGGAGATTTTTTTTTTTTTTTTTGCAAAGTCAAGATCGAGGTCAAACTTGTCAACAGTCACAGCTTTAAGCATGAGCAACCGATTCACCCTGCAAATGTAAAACCCCTGACAATCTCATTCTCATCTGATTCTCCCTCCTAACTTCCACCAGAAAAACAATGCAGGACCAAAAACCACCGGATTCCCTCCTAAACTAGCTTCGAATTCTCACTACTTAAACCCCTGAAATCGAAATGGCACAGGAACCATCCCCTGATCAAGAACCCACAGGACAGCAAGAAACCAACACCTCCTGCAGCTCTGTCGATCACCATGGACATCAAGAAGAGATGGTCACCACCAATGCCTTCTCTTGTGCTCCTGCTCGTCGTCCTCATTGCAGCAGACAGCCGCGCCGCGGCGCAGGTGTTCTGCCGCTCGCAGTTCAACCTGGCCAACGAGGCCTGCAGCCTGCGCCCCTTCTCCGGGCCCAACCCGGCGCAGCCGCTGCAGCTGCACAGCAACGGCTCATCGGCTTCAGCAGCGTCCTACGAGACGCAGGCGGACCACCACGAGCACGGGCACGAGCACAGCCACGAGCACGAGCACGAGCACGAGCGCGAGCACACCCACAGCCGGCGGCATGGCTTCGGGCACGGCGGCCGCGACCCCTACGACACCGCTTGCTGCCGCCGCCTCATGGGCATCGACAACGCCTGCATCTGCCAGACCATGTCCTTCCTCCCCGTCTTCATGAGCAAGGTCAAGCACGCCATCAAGCTCAGCCCCGTCCCGGGCTGCGACGTCTCCTTCGAGTGTGGCGCCGTCTACTGAACTGACGCCGGCGACCTTCACTTGGAAGGAGCCATTTTTCGCTTCTTGCCGCCCAAAACTTTTGAAAGAAAAATAAACTGTTGGGTACATTACATGGAAAATTATATATGCTTCTTCAGCCTTTTTGCATTAGAATTTTCTTAGCGTTACGTATATGTATCTCCTATACACTATCTACACATATTGCGTTGGGAACAAATCATGCATAATATTTTCCTTAGAGTTTTGGAGCTCAAATTGTTCTGAAGAATGTGGATCTCAATCTTGAATATTTCAGAGCAATGCTGACTGTGAAATTTTGGCCTTAAAAACAACATAGTTGTTTCAGAGCGGATGTGCCCTGTGCATACCACCAGTTCAGGATATACCTTTACCAATTTCTTGCGATATTGCTTTAGATTCTACATACACTTTCAGTGCATGGTGTTGCAGATGCACAAGTCTAGAAACATTTCAGCGTGTCTGTATCAAGACACGTAGAAAATGTGAGATAAAAAAAAAAGAGACGTAGAAAATGAACCACTATTTGGAACCCAAATGCAGAAAGCAGTTCTAAGTTCAAAAGACTAAAAATGTCACATAAGTGCGGATAGATAACTCCTCTTGGAAAGGAAACTGCACTCATTCTGTTCGATTTAGATAATACAAACAAAAAGGAAAAATAAATATTATCAAACCTATTCAGATGGAGTAACATTCTAGATTTATTTATCCATCTTTCTAAAACTAACTACTACTTCCTCAGCATGATTAACTGCATGTAATTAATCCAATATATCCATTCGCTCAAGCCAGGCTGCTCCATACAGTTAGCAATGAAATCTTAAAGGTACATGCATATATTACAGGCAGAAACATATCACTAACAGATGTAGTTAGAAATACATGCCAAAATATGCACAAACAGAACCAATAGGCCGCTGGCATGCACAGGTGATTCATCAACATCAGCTCTGAAGTTAGAACTAGTTAGATACTAGCATACACAGGCAAGTTACTCTAGGACAGTTCCAGACAAAATTCATAGGTTGACTTCTCGCCACATCCCACCAACATGCACCCAACAAGCTGAAATCTCAAGCTCAAGTAAGAATCAAGAGCAAGTTCCTGCATAATAAACACCACCAAAAGCAGGTTTCTGCAGAAGATAACAGCATCATCAGCAGATTTTGGCAGAATTGAACACTGTGAAGAGCAGGTTTCATCGGAACCATCTCTGATGCAACCTCACAGTAACACGAATTCATTTTCCATTGAAAAGAAGTCGCATCCAAGGTTTCAGTAGGAGGCATTTCTGATGCAACCTCATAGTAACTCGAGTTCACTTTCCATTGAAACAAAGTCGAACCCACTCCAATCAAGCTCTGCATCCAGATCGAACTCTGGGCCCTTGAATTGAAGAGGCAGGTGACTAATGTCAGCCAGGCCAATATATTCATCATCCAGAGGCTCGTATGTAGCATCAATAAAATCACTGACAGGTAACATAGCTTACAGTCTGGTGAGATCGTCGAGTCAGGGTTCATCAGTTGGGCTGACAGAGTCACTGAAAGGAAGCTCATCTTTCCAGTTTAGCATGACATCCCCTGAAGTCTCCATAGGGGTGGAGAAGTTCAGTAAGCTTTCATCCATAGGTTCATGGTGGAGAAGTTCATCCTCTGAAATTTCCATGGATACTCCATTCTGCTGCGCTTCTTGTATGCTCTGTTTGCATAACACAGATGAAGAGGCACAGGAAACCAAGGATGAGCTGGACAAAGCTTAATGTTTTGACACAGGCTCGTGAGCTTTTATTGCCAGCATCTCTGCATGGAACTGGAACCATTTTGCCTGATATGTTGCAGCAGCAGCCTCCTCAGTGTCATGTAAACTGTATTCTCGTCTCTTTGTGAAAGGATTGTGAATCTCTGCTTGCCACCGACCTGAGTCCCGCAGGCGCACACCACGGTACCTGCTCAATGATACCTTCCTCTCTGGACTTTTCAGATCCTTTATTCGACATGGCATGATGGCTTTTAGAGGTCTCGAGGTCTTATATTTCCTTACTGGAACTAGAACCTCTCTTATAATTTTCTTTTCTTTCTTGGAGGTCTGATCATCCTCATCATCGGAGGAGTCAGTTGCATCAGGATCGCAGCAGAAAATGCGGACCTTCTTGTAGCGCAACATCCAGATCCCACACAATAGCAATCTGCACATACGGACACTGATTTCAACAAATCTGTTAATACGAGGTTTACTATCATCACACATATATGAAAAGAGAAGATGCCTCCACGTACCAAGTGCCTACAACTTGAGCAACGAATTTACCAAATCAGAAAGATGGTTCTCTTTTAACTTCTGAAGAGTGTTGGAGAAAGGGAGATAAGTTTTCTTTGCCAAAGATGTCTCAGAAATTAAAATTCAGGCCAACTGTTGAACTTAGAGGAGGGGTGCCAAATACAATCCAGGGGTGCCAAACACAATCCACCCAAACCAAAACCTGGTAGCATTTAAATCAGACAAGATTGTAAGAGAAGGGAAATAGCAGATACTCTGTTCACTCTTAATTTGTTTGAAAGTATAGTTCCATATAGTTTAACACTTACCAAGATTGCTTGTTATTTGGGGGATTCTTCAACTCGTATGCAGGAACCCAGAGTACTTGACCACAAATCCAAATCTGAAACCAATGTAAACTACTAAAGAAAACTTAAACTGAAATGCAAACATTACTTGAATATATGAGCTCTTGCAATACATGAGCAAACAGATATGAACTGATGTAAACCTCCATTCTTTGCATGCCAAACTAATGAGGTAATATTATTATGTTCATATAGAATGAATGTACAGATCAGTTATCATCCAGCTCCAAACTGAAACCAGACCAGCATTGCAACATGGTTATCTTCAAATTGGTACATGAGCAAATCTTATCTGAGTAGACTGAACAAGCAGACAATTATTGCACTAACATGTGAACAACAGATCAGTTTTCATGGCAACAGAAAAAAAAAACTTTGATTGTTTGCTACTTTGCTACTACAAACAAGCAAGCATCCCTGACTGCTGAATTGGGGAAAGTAAAAAAACAACAGCGACAACTGAAGAAGGAAGTACCGTCGGACAGATAGGCAACAGAAATCTTTGGATAACATAGTCTGATTGTCTGATTCATATCGGAGACTATAAGCACGGTAACAGGGTTGGAGACTACAACAGAAAAAAGAAATCTTCGCACCAACTTGGCCGTAATGTAGCTCAATCAGGCATGCGGAAAGTTACCTGGAGATCCTGAAGCGAAACCAACAGGCTCTGGCGCCCCTCTGCCAAGGCTGGAGGAGAAGAGAGCAAGAAGCGGCTGGCGACGGGAGCTCAGAACCATGAAGCTGGAGCAGTGCAGGCGACATAAATCAACAGCGCGCGCGCGCAAAAGCGGCGGCGGCGCGAGGATACTCCACCCCTGTTCTCTGCTGCTTGTCGCACAAACAACAAAGAACTTGTGTCAAATTCTACCAAAAAGGAGGAACTGGAGAAATTTAGATATAAGAAGAAAGAAAGATTCCATTTTTTTTTTCGCTTACAATTAGAGAAAGGGACAGCAGCTTCGGTATTGGAGCAATGCCCACTTAAAATCGCCGGATAAGGTAAAGGAAGGTAAAAAAGAAAGAGAAGAACAGCTCGAGATCGTACGGAACTTCAATAACCCTACCGGATTGCCCGCCCAAATTTCTTCTCAAGAACGAGAAGTCCCGAGAAAATAAACAGGGCAGGCGGAGAGAAAAGAGATCATCCGAATTAGGAAACCCCACGCGCAGTGTCCCGCGAACGAAGAAAGGCAATTCGACTCGACAAGCCACTTACACGAGCGCGGGTGCGACGGCGACCTGCGGAGCCCGGGCCGGGGACTGATTGGGGCCGTGAAGCCGACGGGATTGGAGGGAATCAGGGGGCAGAAGCAGATCGGGGCTTGATCCGGACTCCGGAGGGCGTGGCAGATGGGTTCGGAAGGAACGGATTTGGATGCTTTTGGTTTCTCCGGCAGGGAAGGAGGGTGGCGGCGAGGGGTTTTAATGGCTTCCTGTTGGAAGAGGCGGAGGTCGACGGCGGTGCGAAACTTGCGTGTGCGCAGGCGCAACGGTACTCAACGACTAGCAGTGAGGGGGAAAAAAACAAAATCGAAATGTTGTGATTACATATTATCAAAAAAGTAGCCTTAGCGCCTTGGGCATGGGCCCTGTGCTGCTTTGGCCTGGTTGGTTCTCGGCGAGCCTGGCTCGTAGAAGAGGAGCCAGGCCGGCCGAGCCAGGTTCAACGTGGGCCTGTTTAGTTGGTAAAATTTTTTGGTTTTGGGTACCGTAGCATTTTCGTTTGTATTTGGTAATTAGTGTCTAATTATAGATTAATTAGGTTTGAAAGTTTCGTCTCGCGATTTCTCACCCAACTGTGTAATTAGTTTTTTTTTTCGTCTACATTTAGTACTTCATGCATGTGCCGCAAGATTCGATGTGATGGATATTGCGCAAAAAAATTTAGGTTTTGGGTGGAACTAAACAGGCCGTTAGTATGTTTGATTGTTTATTTATTATATGAAATCCAGCCAGACTAGAGATACTCCTAGTGTTTGATTACCCACATGAGGATATATGCATCGAGACAAAATATTCAAAACAAGGGTTATTATATTGTTTATTTCACGTAAGTATATTTTAATAGATTTTAGTTTTCCTCGTTAAACCCTAATCATCTTTTCAAAATACTAAAATAACTTAATCACTTGTTTAATATTATCATTAGTGAGAGAGCACCTGCGTCTAGCGAGCAAGACCCGCTAGGAACGACCTCTCCTCACGTTTGTCTGGAGTCTGGCTGCAAGGGAATCTTGCATGACGCGAGCTTGGTCCGACAGCCGCGCCAACCAAACAACAGCCTGTTCTCGCATGCCGAGAGCCTGGCTGAGGGCAGGAACAGGCAAGCAAACATGCCCTTTCAAGACCGGAGAAACTGCTTGGTCCGTTTAGGCTTGAACGAAAGTTTCGTTTGAGTTCTAACCACATTTAATAGTTTGCTACATAAATATTTTTAATAAATAATGTATCAATGTTTTTAAAAAAAATTGAGTTTCATATGGATAAAACTTTGTTGGCTCGGTTTTGAACTTTAGTGGAATTAAATACCTACGAAACAAAGAATGAAACATGTATTGAGAGTAGTTGTTTCATCCATGTTTCATTATATTTTGAGTTACGTGTGAATCTAACATGTATTGAGAGTACTTGTTTCATCCATGTTTCGTATCTTACCCTAGTTTGAGTATTTTTGCCTTTGTCACATAGTCTAACGCCATATTCGTTTTCTTGTACTATAACTTTTGCGCCATAGCCTTTGCATATTTCAGTTTCAGGGTCCACATGTTGAGTTTGTGTCCTAGGTCAAGATCTTGTTGCTAGTTTAGATCGTGTTTGAGTCTCGTTTGTGTGATCGCTCCGTTGTTTTCCATCAACCCCTATCCTTACCATAAAAAATCTACATCTTGTGTCCACACAAAACCCTAATTTGAACTGCCTTCTTTAAAATAGTCATAACTTTTGCATCTGGACTCGAAATAGGGTCAGTTATGCCACCGCCACTAACACTTCTTGCAAGCCTCCACTCCTGTTCAAGATCTATCTAACTACTCAGGGATTCACGGTATCTCACAATCCAATTGAATAATCCCGTTGTTTCGATAGCAACATCACAACAAATTCATTGCATCTCACAATCCAAAGCAAGCAAGATATGCTGCAGAAAAAGAAAGTGAGCCAACCAACCTTCCACACGTCGGAATGATGAACGCATAAGGACTTGGTGGCGGAGAAGGCATTGATGGCGATTCAGAGGAGCGCAGTGGCGGCCGTGACGCCGTTGAAGCAGCCACAAGCGATGAGGAGCGAGTCAGAGCTGGTGCATGGGGGCCGGCCTGCCGCAACTGTGACCGGTGCACGCCCCGCCTCCACCTTCATTGCCCTGCGTCAAGGAGGAGGGCCCGGCCCCCAACGACAATGCAAAGGAGGCACTTCGCACGGAGCACCGCCGGTGGTGGCCGGAATAGGGGCAGCGACGTTAGGTTTTCATGGCGGAGGGGGCGCCCACGGAACAGAAGCCCCGCGCAGAATAGAAAGCATCGGGCGAAAAGAATAGATGGAAACCGATACGTAGAGGTAATGTGTAATTAGTGTGGAAACCGATACGTAGAGGTAATGTGTAATTAGTGGCAGCGGTGGGTATTTCTCTCTAACTCTACGAGGAAGTACAAAAATCCAAATCCTAGAGTACCCCTTGAGGTGCTACACAAAAAACATGGAGTTAGCCTTCAACTCCACATTTTTCTTGGAGTGGAGTTTTAGGAGCTGGAGGTATTTGGCAAGACAAAGCTGAAGTGGAGTTGCAAAACTTGGAGTAGAGTGGTCCCAAACACCCCCTATAAAAGGGAGAGATTACTTGGCTAATATTGTTATCTAGTGTCATGGGTGAGTATAACAATGCATATGTGTTAGGTATAATGGCATGACAAGGGAGCAAGAGAAAAAAACTTTTGAATGTGGCCTCCTTTGCAATGCAGGATTCTCGAAACAAAAGAATAGGAAAAACACAAGATTAGAGTTACACGAAACTTACAATTCTACAGGAATCTATAATGGAGGAAAATTTCTAATGTAACTTTTTGGATAGAACGTGGGGAAAATATAGGAACAAGAAGAGAGAGATAGGCACAAGGGAAAGTTTCCATGAGGTCCAACCTCATGTTAGTTTTCCTCCAAAATTCCTATGTTTTCATGCATCTCATGGCAGTCCTAAGGAATTTCATAGGGTTCAATATTTTGTTCCAAAGAGGTGTTTAGGAAACTTTCCTATAGATTGATATCTTCTAAAATTCCTATGTTTTTTCTTTGCTCCAAAGGAGGCCTAACTCAGTGCTAAAGGTGATGTTGTTCCATGGGACATTCTTTGGAGTTAGCAAATTTGAAGAAAAAAATAGTGTGTTAGGAGCTCTCAGCTAAGTAGTTTTTTTATAGGCTGATAAGGTTGTTGTTTTAAGTTTCAAGAGCTCCAATTCATCCCCTATTGGGCAATTCAATCCTTTCACACAACAAATACTAATAGATGACCTCCTCTTTTTTGAAGAGAATAAGGAAACTGTTCTCATGTATCATCAGTTTTTATTAGGTGGTACTGAAAAGAATCTACTTAGGCGCAGTTATATTTATTCTAAAAAAATGTTTTACCCAGCTTTCTAAAACCAACTACTTCCCAGGATGATTCTTTTTCTTTCTTTTGTTCAAAATTATGCACACCCAAAAGGGCTGCAACCTGCTAACAAGCTTGTCAGATTTGAAATTAAATTAGAACATGTACACATTACATGATGAAACTTGTTACATCATAGCACATCCTGGCAAGTTACTCTAGGAACTGTACAATTCCTGACAAAATTTAGAGGTCAATTGCCTCCGGATCCCGGCCACATACAGCCAGGCAGCCATATAGATAGACTGAAACCTGAATCCATATTCATTGTTGCATTCTGACAAATATGAAAACATAGAGGAGCTTTCAGCTGAATACAACATAATAAAGTGCAGGTTTCAGTATAACACAATCTCTGATGCAGCCTCAAAGGACATCAAGTTCACGTTCAATTGCAGCAAAGTCGAACACACTCCAATCAAGCTCTGCATCCAGATTGAAAGCTGGGTCATTCATTGGAAGAGGCAGGTGGCTAATGTCTGCCAGACCAATATAGTGATCATACGGATGCTCATCTCTTGAACCGATAAAATCACTGATAGGGAATGCATCTTCCAGCCTCGTGAAATTGTCAAGTGGAAGTTCATCAGCTGGCCTGACAGAGTCACAGACAGGAATCTCATCTATCCGTCCGAGCAAATCGTCCATTGAAATCTCCTTAGGTGTGGGGGAGAAGTTCAGAAAGACTTCATCTACAGGTTCAGGATCTTTCTCCACGAGCACTATATTCTGCGGTTCATGCGCTGTCTGCTCACACGGGCAGATGAAGATACGCAGGAAACCGAGGACGAACTTGATAGAGGTGCACGTTCTGATACAGACTGTTGAGTCTTAATGGCTAACACCTCATCTCTGATCTGGTTTGCATATGCCTGATATGCCGCAGCAGCAGCCTCCTCAGAGTCATAAGAGCCAATCCACTTACGGGTTTTTCTCACAGGATCACGAATCTCAGCTGCCCATCGACCCCAGGGTCGCTTGCGCACACCACGGAACCTGCTTGATTTCCCCTTCTTCTCTGAAACCTCCAGATCCTTTGTTCCACACGGCACAAGGGTCTTCAGACTATTTGAGGTCTTCGAGTTCGCCACTGGAACCAGTACCTCCCTGACCATTTTCTTTTCTGCGATGTTCTTATCATCTTCATCATCAGATGAGTCTGTAGCATCAGGATCAGCACAGAAAATGCGGACCTTCTGCACTGTGGGCAGCATCTTGGCACACAGCTTCCAGATTCACCTCAATTGAGATCTGCAGACAGGTCAGGTTAATTAATCAAGTATGAAAATGTAAGGTTACAGTTTCACATATGTTGAATAGGATACATGTTTACGTTTCATCAAAAAAATAGGATACATGTTTACATACCGAGGAAATTTTTGTGGACAAAATTGGGGCAAAGACTCCTGATCTGCGCAAGAACTGCAGCGCAGATGGAATCTGGCAAATCAGAGCAAATCAGAATGGGGTTCTCTCTAACTTCTGACCGAAACCGGAAAAGAGAAGATCGGGTTACTTCAGACTCAATTCGGAAATCTGGCTGTGACTGTTTGAACTTGGAGGAGACGTAATGGAATCCACCCAAACCAGACCTGATAGAATATACAAATCAGACAAGATTGTAAGATGATGCACCTGCTAAAACTAAGTTCGGAAGAGGGAAATCTTTATATAACAGTAAAAATAGAAGATGATCATTGATTATTTATTGTTCGAGATATGTCCATGTAATTTAACGCTTACCCAAGACTGACTGTGATTTGGGGGATTCTTGAACTCTTGCTTCCTCAGGTGCGGCAAAGTAGGAAGCAAGGGTCTAAATGCAGAAACCCAGAGTACTTCACCCTAAATCCAAATCTGAAACCATTCTGCATTACTAGAGGAAACTTTCCAAATTCATAAAAACGTACTGAAAGACCGAATACTACTTGAATAGGACTTGAACAGGAAATTGCCATCAAACAGATATGAACTTATGTAAACCTCCATGTTTGCATGCCAAACTAATAGGTGTCATTTTTATGGTCAATAGGAAACGGGAGATCAGTTTTAGTCCACCTCAACTATGAAACCAGAGCAACGCACACACAGTGAGCTGTCTATTGCCAAATGTGGGGCACACGCAGAATTAACGTGACTAGCAGAGAATGCAACTCATGGCAATTTGCATACTATTATATTTGCAACTGTACCATGACCAAACTTTTTCAGGGGACCGGAAAAGACAAATCATGCTGACAACAATTAACAAACTAGAAAGGACTGCTCTAATACATTATCATTGACTATATAAGAAGAACAACGACAAGAGATATTATAAATAACCTCTCTGTAAACTGGCGCCTACATGGAATGGAGGAGAGTAACAACAGAGCAGATTGGATTCTTGTCGTGAACCAACCAATCAATCGAATCGAACAGGGAGAGATATATTACACTGAGATCCTGAAGCGAAAGCCGCAGTCTCTGGCGCCCCTCTGCCCAGGCTGGAGAAGGGAGCAAGAAGAGGGTGCTGACGTCGGGAGCTCAGAACCATGGAGCGGCAGCAGAGCAGGCGACATAAATCAACAGCTGGCGCGCTGCGTGCGGGCTACTCCACTCCTGATCCCCTGATCCTGATCACATCAGAGACACGGACGGCACCGGAAACGGGTGAGAGAAGAGAGAAGAAATCAGAAATCGGCCGACGATGTGAACCAAACTAGAGGGGAAACAAAGATGCAATCTTTTTTATTCCCACGAGATTGATCGATTCCACGTATGGAAAGAACGAACAGAGAAGTATTAGGTTGGCAACTGATGTAATGCCCAACGCAAAACCGTATCAAAAAAAGGAAAAAAAAAAAGAGCCCGAAAAGAAATCGCACCAGATCGCAGAACCAAAAAGAATCAAAACGATCGGGGGCGCAATTCTCGCCGAAGAAGAGGCAACTGGAACGAGCACAGAGCACAGAGATATACTTACAAAAGCTTGGGTGCCACGGCTCTGGGCGATCTACGGATGGCCGGAGCACTGCCCACTAGACGGAATGGGAACCACCCGGAATCCTAGGAAAAGCGGATCTGGAGGGGTCCCTGCGCGGGCAGGAGACTGTTGGAGGTGGCCAGGTGGGATGGGGGAGAGCCGAAAGGAGAGGAGGGCGAGGAGGGGGTTTAATGGGGGTCTTGCTGCTTCGGGCGGAAGAGCAGGGGAGCCGAGGTTCTGGTCAGGTGGAAGTGGAAGGTGAGGAGGAGCGGTGCGGTGCAGGGAGACGAAACGTGTGAGGCGATGGCGCAGGCCGTGTAATTATAATTATAATGCGGCCTGGCCTTGGGCGTACCAAAAATCCCAGGGGGTACGCCGTCCTGTGTACCCCGGATTTACCTATCTATTTATTTAGTATCATCAACATATCAGCTGATACCAGTCTACCTAGAGCCGATTGTAGCATTGCTGGATTTCCAAATTTCTACTGAGTACGGATTCTCCTATATTTAAAAATACGTTACTACTGTATTTTTTTAATTAAAAAATCACAGTTTTTTTCAAAGGTTAATACATTTTTTAGGAAAAAAAGCTTATTAGTACTATTATTTTTCAAACTAAGTTGAAATACCATGTGCAGCGCGTCGATACCGTGATTCCACACTTTTGGCGTCTGTAAATATTCAAGGTCTACTTGAAAGACGACCAGAAATAGCCGCACAAAGACGAGCCACACGTTCCTCAACGGAAAGCCTGTTTCGTGTCGCGACTCGACAAAGGTTAGGTGCACCCTCCGCTCCACGCCTGCATTTACGTTAACACTCCGCGGCACGCCTGCATTTACGTTAACACTCCGTGGCACGCCTGCATTTACGTTCACACGCTGTCTCGCCAAAAGTTCGGTAGCCGTTTCGTCCGCTGCACGCGCAACACAACACGACCCGTCATGCAACCAGCTGGAGTTGCCTTCCAAACATGGACTCTTTTAACCGTTCACTTTTAAAAAAAAAATCCCTTTCAAATCTCAAGTTGAATTTGAGTAGAAATGTATAAACAAAAGTATGAGCATAAAATACATCGGCTCATTAGTAAAATCATAATACACTTATATCGACAGTAAAGTCTAGCAATAGTACACGTTTACTTAACTTATTAATATTGTAAACATTATTATTTGATCAAATTTTGAACAATATGCTAAGGGCTCTATTTGGGTTGGGGATGGAGTAATCCACCATCGTCTCACTCCTCGCTATTTTGTTTTGGTTTGTGAAATAGAATGATTTGATCCATCATGGTCTTATTTCTTTTTTGAAACAACCATGGTCTTATTTCTCAGAAACTAAAATTAGTGCCAGCATGAGGATTAGAACCAATCTACCAAAATTATAGAATAAACTCATGATGTATCACCTCATCTTAAGATATATAATGTGAGCACATAACTAGAACACAAATCTAATAATAGGGTAGTACTAAATACTGTACTTGGCATGATGAAACGGGACAACCAAGAAGGAATTAGCAAAGTTGTATTGTATTGGAACAAAAGCCATATATATAGTAAGTATAACAGAGGCAAGGCAGGCCAAAACAAAAAATACAATCCTATGATATAGTAAGTATAACAGAGGCAAGGAAGGCCAAAACAAAGGTACAATCCTACGATCAACGCTATCCTCCTTCCCTTCTAATACGGCTTTGCTAATTCCTTCTTGGTTGTCCTGTTTCATGGTGCCAAGTTGACGTCTGGCGTTGCATTTTGCAAGAACTTTATTTACTTAAATGACATTGGGTGTAATCAACTTTGTGCGATCTAGCAAGGTTCGAAGTACTTGCCAGAGAAAAAGACATATCCTGTCTATTCTTGGGCTGAGGCTGCATGTTGGTCCCATATGGTTGAGATTTGATGATATGATCGATACACATTGACCGTCGTGGCCGAAACTTGGGCTGTGTTTTGCTGGGCTTGTTCACGATAAGTTAATATGAACTTGAGTAAAGTAGCAGAGCGCTGAAGGGCTACGGCCTAAAGCTTATTGATTACAAGAGTCTCAGTATTACTTGAGGTTGATTTAACTCTTTATAGGAGCGAATATTCTAGGATTTAACAACTTTGTATTTTCAATGATAGACGACGTTCCATAGGAGTGAGTGTGTGTGAGTTGTGAGCGTTTTCATTGGAATCGTACAGAAAAATAAGAAATCATCCATTCATTTTCACAAGAAAGATGCAAGAAACAGAAAAAGTCCCACATTCTAAAAGGGGCCTTAAGTTGTAGCTTATGATGAACTCGTCCCCATTTGTCTAAGCTAATTTATTTGGTCACAACTATAAAAAATTCATACATACATTGTTTTCATTTTCACAAGAAAGATGCAAAAAACATAAAAAGTCCGACATTTCAAAAGGGGCCTTAAGTTCTAGCTTGTGTTGAACTCGTCCTCAATTGTCGAAGCTAATTTATTTGACCACGAGTATGCAAATTTCATACATATGTACGTTGTGAGATGTAACCAACTAAAGTGTGTATTGTAGTTGAAGGAAATAGGAAAGGACTTAAAGTTTAACCATCTTAAAACGATAATTAGTGGCATTGTGCTTGAGCAACAGTTGCAGCAGTAGGGGTGTAGTTGGAACAGATATGAACGAATACTACTGATCTTATATTTGTTTATATATATATATATATATTCCTTCAGATTCTTAATGAGGCATGAATAACCGTCGAATAGAGATATGAATGTGCATGATCCCTGTTACAAATACGAGTAAATGTATGCCAAATATGAATAATGTTGGCCACAAAATAATTCTTCAAATATCGAGTTAAAACACGTTGGTATATACGATTCCAAATCCTAACAAATTATGCTTGAAAGAAGCAAAATAATGCAATAGACAATAAAGCTGTTGCCCAATTGCATTGGCATAACATACACGAGTTTGATATCTTTGTAGTACTAGATTTACGTGACATTCTAACTTATTAAACTGTTTACAAGATAGTCACACCAAGGAGTCCATATTCATATCTAAGTTCATTGCTCATAACACCAAGTCAAAAGAACTCTATACTTATTGTTAACAAATATTTTTTTTATCACAAAATACATGAGAAATAAATGTAGAAAACCAAAACGAATATATAAAAAAAAAAAAAAAGGAAATATAAACGTTGGAATGTAACCAACTAATGTGTGTACTGTAGTTGAAGGAAATAGTAAAAGATTGAAAGTTTAACCATCTTAAAATGATAATTAGTGGCATTGTGCTTGAGCAACAATTGCAGCAGTAACGGTAATGGGAACAATACGAACGAATACTACTGATCTTATATTTTGTTTTTATATTTTCCTTCAGATTCAAAATCAGGCATGGATAACCATCAAATAGAGATACGAATGTGCATGATCCCGGTTACAAATATGAGTGAATGTATGCCAAATATGGATAATGGCCACCACAGAATATTTCTTCTTCAAATATCGACTTAATTAAAACTCGCCGGTTTAGCAATCACAAGGGCTTTACGAATCCAAATCCTAACAAATTATATATGCTTAGAAAGAAGCAAAATAATGCAATAGATAATAAATCAGTTGCTCAATTGCATTGGCATAATATACATGAGTGTGATATATTTTTAGTACTCGATTTACGCGACATTCTAACTTATTAAACTGTTTACAAGATAGTCACACCAAGGAGTCCATATTCATATCTAAGTTCATTGCTCATAACCCCAAGTCAAAAGAACTCTATACTTCTTGTTAGGAAATGTTTTTTTTTATCACAAAATACATGGGAAATAAATGTAGAAAACCGAAGCAAATATATAAAAGAAAAAAAATTAGGAAATATGAACGTTGGAATGTTGAATGCATATAACAAATAAAAAAAGAAAATAGAAATAATGGCGTAGCAATGTTTGATTGTTGAGAAGTAGGGAGTAAACATAGATAGATTATTATATAATTTAAAAAAATAAAATATTTTATTACTCGTTAGTAAAGTATATCTAATTAGATTGCTGGATATTTAAATATCTGTCAGGTATTTATATTTGAGAATCAACTAAGATATTTGTATTGATGTTTAATATCTGAGGAATATCTCGAATATCTTAAAATTACACCCAAATCAATATGTGTCCGTTTTCATAGTCAAACAACCCGTCAGTTATTTCATTGAGGCGCTCTGTGCCTCTGTGAGTCTTGGTGGCTGCTGGGTGCACGAGAGAAAAAGGCCATGCCACGACGAGACGCTGACGACTGCGGACTGCCTGCTTGCTTTTCTACTCCCTCTGCCGGAGCATCGCGTTGCGGGTCCCACCTGAACATGACTCCGGCCCATTTCGTTTCTGCGGCCGCGCGTGGGACCATCGGAAGCGGTCGGCTCCAAGATGAACGGTTGCGATCGCCCCGTCCTCCAACTCCCAAGGCGTCGAAACGGCAGGTCCGCTGCGTCGTGGGCCTCGAGGCGCGCGCCCGGGTTTCTTGGACTCCAAGTAGCCACCACGCGACCACTTCCCCAGGCGTCAGTGAGTGATGGCCCTACTCTGCAGTTGACCGCTGCTTTTCTAATAAAAAAGAAAAGAAAAGAAAGTTGACCGCTGCTGTAGTCTGTACCCAAATCAGACACCTTTTAGTTGTATGATTGTCTGTAAATATTCCGTAGCCAGGCCCACCTAAGCCAGTTCAGAGGCCTTAGCCAGCCTCTGAAAAAACGAGATGGCTTTCAGTTTTTCTGTGGCCAGGCTTGGTTAAGCCCGCGTTTGAGTCTTGTCACTAAATGTTAGCCAGACTTAAATAGTGTAGATAACCAAACAAGTTTATCTTAACTTTCTAGAGATAGTCTTATGCTAGACTATTTGCTAGCCAATCAAACAGACCGACTGGAGGCCGGAGGCGTCGCGCACAAGGAACATGACTGTGCTCGGCTGCGTTTATTTTTTGGTAGCGGTTTCGGCTGCCACAGTAATCTCCACACCATGGATTTCCTTTGTCCTTGAATAAATATTTTTGAATAATAAATTCATTTATAATATGACAATTTACGGAGTAAGTTATCTAATATTTTATTTAGTATTTGGCTAATATAATGAAATGAGCATCCACGTTATTTCTCAAGGCATAGAAATTGCCGCATTAAACTTTCTACCCATACTGACACACGGTGGTATACCATAAGAAGCGTGTTGATACCATCCTTCCACACTTTGGCGCTGGTAAACATTCCAGGTCTATTTGGAAGATGAG